CCCTTGATTGTACCCCAAAACCTGAAAGTCAACAAGAAAGGGAACTCCAAACCTCTCCATGCCCCAGTTAATTTGGTGCCACCTCTGTCTGACATCACTCCTTCTCCCTTAGACCAAGTGTCAGGCAAATACTTCCTGCTATACAAGTGGCACCCTGGATGCACTTTTGAGGTCCTTTAGTCAGACGGGAAAGGTTCCCTGTCACTGCTGTTATCTTTACAGCCTCAGCTGTGAGCAGTTACAGAAGTCATCGTCCCAATTCCCTAATGGTACTTAGGGTTCCCTTTCCATAGGGGGAATGAGGAGGAGGAAAGAACCAGTCAGGCATTTTAGGGACAGGGGCTTTATTAGTCAGTGTTCTCTAGAGAAACAGAACTGGTAGAATGAATCCCTATACAGATATAGAAAGGTTTACAGTCTGTAGCCCAGCTGGACCAACAACAATGGTTGTCTACCAATGGACAGTCTAAGAATCCAGCAGCTCCTCAGTCCAGCAGGCTGGGTACAGTTGGCCTTCAGTATACAATGGAATCCTGAAGATGTGGGCTCTAATGTAGTCAAGGAATGGACTTTCCAGGGAGATCAAAGGTAAGGAAACAAAGACAGAGAGCTTTCCTCACCTTTGTCTTTATACAAACTGTCACCTGAAGGTGACCCAGATTGAATGTGGATCTTCCAGTCTCAAAAGACCCAGACTAAGGGAAGGTGGGGGCTTCCAGCTTCAAGTGATTTCCTCACGTGCGTACTCGGCCTCTTGGGTTCTAGGTTTTCCAGATGTAGTCAGATTGACACCAAGATAACCATCAGAGGATCCTCAGAAACAAGCGGTTCTGATTTTTGTCCTTGGCCAGACATTGGAAGTGTCCTTGGCAGCTCAGTCTGATCAGAGGGCAGAGTGCTGAATGTTTATGGACACCAGTCTTGTTCTGGTCTCATTGCTATTTTTCTTTTTGTTTTTTCTGAGACAGGGTTTCTCTGTGTAGCTTTGGAGGCTGTCCTGGAACTTGCTCTTATAGACCAGGCCAGTCTCAAACTCACAGAGATCTGCCTGCCTCTGCTTCTCGTGTGCTGGGATTAAAGAAGTGCATCACCACCTCCAGGTCTTTTTAATACAGGGTCTCATTGTGTAGCCCTGGCTGGCCTGGAACTTTCTAAGTAGCCTGGCTGGCCTCAAATTCATACAGAGCCACTTGTGTCTGCTTCCCAAACATTAGAATTAAAGATGTGGGTCATCCCAGTTAGAAAATGCTCATTATTGGAGCACACAAGTGATGATTAATATTCTCAACTTGGCAGATGTAAACCCATGTAGGAGATTAGCCTCCAGGCACATCTGTTACAGATTCTCTGGATTAATCTCTGGCGGTGCCTATGAGGGATTGTCTTGACTGGGTTAAGGGTCCACCCTAAGAGGGCAGTACCATCCCTCGGTTTGAGTCCTGGATGACATGAAAGGGAGAAAGCTAGCTAAATGGGAGTGTTCACTGACTTCGGCTTCTTGACTGCAGAGGCAATGTGACCTATTGCCTCAAGCCTCTTCCACCAGGACTTTTTGTCACATTGGACTGTGACTTGAATGGATTGTACCCTTGAACTGTGAGATGAAATGAGCCCTATGTCTCAAGCAAGAAGGAAGGTAAACATAGGATAACAAAAAATTATGCTGAGTTATCACACAACATTCTCGAAAAGTCCTAACCGTAGTCCTAAGCCTGTTTCCCCATGGCTGCTCACATGTGTGCGGCATGTCTTAACCGAAGGTCAGGTCCAGTCCCTCATGGTAGTCTCCAGTTCAAGGGTCAGGATCCCAGGGTAGACTCTGCAGATGCAAGGCAGATCAAGGTGGGGTCTCTCCTGTGTCTCCAGCAGTCCTGAAGATATGCAGAGTACTGCATTGCTCTTGGTCTCTGCTTATATACTGTCTAGTGTGTGTTGTGGAGGTCTAGTCATATGCCTGGCTATGTTGAGTGAGTGATGGGTTCTGGCTATCAGGTGCAGCCAGGATAGTGGGGTCCTGACTACGGCATTTTTACATGTCTAAGAGGCATGTTATATTATGCTTCTCACTCCTTCTCTCCCTTAAGTTGCTTTGGTCAGCTCTTTTTATCACAGCATTCCCAAATAGAGGTAACAAAAAAATACAACCACTGCCTCAAGCAGTCATTACGTGTGGACCCCAAAATAGGGCATAAAACCCTGGGTGAGGTGATGTCCTGTCTTAGAAGGCACTGCCCAGTGAGGGAGGGAGCCATGTGCTATCAGCAGCTGGTATTCCCAGGAGCTGGGGAATGGGCATGTCAGTTCTGAGAAGGGATCTGTTTGGAATGCTGTTAAATAGTATATACCTGTCTTTTGTTGTTTTGTTTTTGAGACAGGTTTTCTTTGTATATCCTTGGCTGTTCTGGAACTAGCTTTGTAGATCAGGCTAACCTCGAACTCACAAGAGATTTGCCTGCCTCTGTCCTCTTTTTTTTTTTTTTTTGGTTTTTTGAGACAGGGTTTCTCTGTGGCTTTGGAGGCTGTCCTGGAACTAGCTCTTGTAGACCAGGCTGGCCTCGAACTCACAGAGAGACACCTGCCTCTGTCCTCTTAGTGCTGGGATTAAAGGTGTGTGACAACACCTCCAGCCAAACCTGTGATCTTAACACTTAAGAGGCTGAGGCAGCCTGAGCCCTGGAAAGACCCTGTCTCACTCCTGTACCCAACTCAACAATCATTACCACAGCCTACAGTCCTCAGTCCATTACCACAGCCTACAGTCCTCAGTCCATTACCACAGCCTACACTCCTCAGTCCATTACCACAGCCTACACTCCTCAGTCCATTACCACAGTCTACACTCCTCAGTCCATCACCACAGCCTACACTCCTCAGTCCATCACCACAGTCTACAGTCCTCAGTCCATTACCACAGCCTACAGTCCTCAGTCCATTACCACAGTCTACACTCCTCAGTCCATCACCACAGCCTACACTCCTCAGTCCATTACCACAGTCTACACTCCTCAGTCCATTACCACAGCCTACACTCCTCAGTCTATTACCACAGTCTACACTCCTCAGTCCATTACCACAGCCTACAGTCTTCAGTCCATCACCACAGTCTACACTCCTCAGTCCATCACCATAGCCTACAGTCTTCAGTGTCTCCAGATGTCTGTTGAGTTCTTTATGCATCCAAGTAGCTCAGGGAGATATCACATTCCATATGAGAAGTTTTGGAGAATACCAGACAGATAGGAGACCTGGATTTGAATTCACTTAGCCATTGTGTGGTCATGAGGGAAATCTTGTGTTCAGTATCCTTATCTGTAGATTAGGATATGTCACCCTCAACAGCATGAGGGGTTCTCTCTAATTTTTTAGTGACCTTGACTAAGATCAAACCAGGATTCATGGTTTGACTCAGAAAAGAATTTCACTATGCCTTTAATCTCAGCACTAGGGAGGCAGAGGCAGGCGGATCTCTGAGTTCAAGGCCAGCCTGGTCTACAGAGTAAGTTCCAGGACAGCCTCCAAAGCCACAGAGAAACCCTGTCTTGAACTCCTCCCCAGAAAAAGACATGGTCTCACTATATATCCCTGGTTGGCCAGGAACTCAGTATGTAGACCAGGCTGGTCTCAAATACACAGAGGTCTGTCTGTCCCTGTTGGAATTAAAGAAATGCACCACTATACTCAGTGAGTTGGAGATTTTATTAAATATTTTAATTAATTAATGCATTTTTTTTGAGACAGAGTCTCACTGTATAGCTTCTTTCTGGCTGTCCTGGAATTCACCCCATAGACTAAGATAACCTTAAATGCAGAATCCACATCCACTGTCTCCCAAGTTCTGGAATTACAGGTTTGTGCCACCATGCCTGGCTATTAGATATTTTAGCATGGGGGTGGGCTTCTCGAATAGAGAGTCACAGGAAGCAAGGCATGCCTAAGTGTGGGTGAGGGTTCCTCAGAAAGTCATACTTAACCTTAGCACTAGCAATATGTGAGTTTTCTGTGGTGCTCATGTTATATCTCAAAAGGTTGCTATAAAAACTTTTTAAAAACCCTTTCTTTCTCTTGATAAGTGAAGTTAGAGCTGCAGAGGTGCCTTGGATGGAATTATGATCTAATAAAGTCCTAGAGAGTGACAGGTTTTTAGCTGGGAAGAGAGAAGGGTGTTGCTAATCGTGTTGCATTCCTGCTCCTTAGTTGTTGAGAAGCCCCACTGGGATCCTGGGTGATGCTGCCTTTCCTTCTCTGTCTCTTAGTTGTTGAGAAGCCCCCACTAGGATCCTGGGTGATGCTGCCTTTCCTTCTCTGTCTCTTAGTTGTTGAGAAGCCCCACTAGGACCCTGGGTGATGCTGCCTTTCCTTCTCTGTCTCTTGCTTTTGCCTTTCTACCCTACTTCAGCACCACTTTGCAGTGTTGTCTTCAGGACCAAGAGAACTACGTGTGAAGCAGGCCCCTCCCATCAGCATGGGGGAAGCCAGTCCTGGGTGGCATGGGGGGTCTTCAGGACCAAGAGAACTACGTGTGAAGCAGGCCCCTCCCATCAGCATGGGGAAGCCAGTCCTGGGTGGCATGGGGGTGAAGAGACAGAGCCTGGCCAACCTCCTCACATTCTCTCTTCTTCATATCGGGTAAAGTCATTTTCCCCTAGGTTACTCGAGCCATAGCTGTGACTATTATTTTAAAGCTGAGATGATTGGTTTTAAAGTCTCCTTATCTTTTCCTCTGGAAGGCCATAATCGTGTGTGTATGTGTGTGTGTGGCAGCCGTGTGATTGAGCAGACGGAGGGAACAGCGAACAGAGACAGGTGTCCCCATCATGGCTCGTGCTCTGCGTGAAATCAGGGCCCGCCTCCAGATCCGAAGCCTCGTGGTCCGACAGTGCCTGGCCGAGTTTCTGGGTGTATTTGTGCTCTTGGTAGGTGGGGTAATTGAGGGGAAGTGAGAAGGGAGGTCGGTCAGGGTTTCTGGCTCTTCTTAGTGTCATTTTCTCTGCTAACCCACTTCCTTTCACCCCAATTTCTTCTCTTCTCCTTCTCTGTGGCTCTCTTTCCTCTTTTACTCCCTCATCTTGTTTTTGTTTTAAAGTCTTGCTCTGTACCCTAGGCTGGGCTCAACAGTCCTCAACAAACCTCCTAGCTTAGCCTACCTTTACTCTTTTACAATTTTTTTTTTCTTGTTTATATACTTAGCTGGCGGGGGATAAGCCATGATCACAAAGGCGGTTTTCTCAGGGCAAGGCTTGTCCCTTGCACACCAGATGTGCTGACCCCTGAGATTTCCCCAGGTGTGGGAAACTCAACTGTATAATTTGTGGTAGCGGGAACTGTGTTCATGCTATGTAGTATTCTTGCTATGTAGTCCTGACTGGCTGGGAGCGGCAGAGACTTGGGAGTGCTGAGACTCAAGGCACCACCTGGCCTGGCTCCTGCTTCTCCCCTTTGACCTCTTCTCCCACCTTTCACCTTTCCTTTTCCTCTGCTTTCCTTCGAGTTTCTCCAATTTGATCCCTTTTCCTGGTGGGTGGTTCCCTGCAGCTGCTCTCTCTCACATGGGTCCCCTGGGCTCCCCGTCCCTCTTCACCCATCTCCCCACCAGCTCATCATCCAGGGTTCTGTGGCCCAGGCTGTCACCAGCGAAGAAACCAAAGGCGACTCCTTTACCATGGTTCTGGGCAGCGCGCTGGCTGTTACCGTAGCTATCCACGTGGCAGGCGATGTCTCAGGTGAGCAGGGTGGGGTCTGAGCGTGGGAGCACTGATACGCACGTGAAGGTGTGATGGGGAAAAGCAGATCCTTTGGTGACTCACCGTTTGGCGACTCATGGCCGTTATCAGCTTGACCGGTGTCATGGACCGAGATATGCCTTTGACCTCATCCGGTCCCTCTCCTTCCTCTAGCTAACTGTTCCCCTCTAGTCTTCTGTCAACTCAACACGATCTAGAGCTATCTGAAAGGAGGGAACCTCAATTGAGAAAATGCCTCTTAAGATCCAGCTGTAAGGCATTTTCTTAATTAGTGAATGATGGAGGCAGGCCCAGTCCATCGTGGGTGGTGCCAGCCCTGGGCTGGTGGTCCTGGTTTCAAAAGACAGCAGACAGAGCAAACCATGGGAGCAGGCCAGCAAGCAGCACCCCTCCATTGCCTCTGCTTCAATTTCTGCCTCTGGATTCCTGCCCTGCTTGAGCTCCTGTCCTGACTTATTTTGACAATGAACAGCAATATGGAAAAGTATGAGCCGAAAAAATCCTTTCTTCCCCAAGTTGCTTTGGTTGTGGGGTTTTGCCACAACAGTAGAAATCCCAACTAAGACACCATTCTCCACAGCAGACTCCTAGCTCACTCAGGCAGACATCTCTAGCAGAGCGTTGAGGATAATTACCATTATTTTGTGCCTCACACCTGAAGGCCTCGTCTCTGCTCAGGACCTACCTCATCAGCTTGTCTCTCAGTATATACTGTGTTAGCGGGCCTGGCCTCAGCCGTGAGACACAGCGTGCTGCAGGAGAGCCAGATCTGCTCAGGCTCAGAACCTGGCTTCATTGTGTGACTTTGATAAACCAGCTTAAAAAAAAAAAGCCCGTGTGTATGTGGTATGTGTGAGCAGGGCATGAGGGGCCTGAAGAGGGCATCAGGTGCCCTGGGACTGGAGTTACAGATTGTTTTGAGCTGCCATGTAGGAGCTGATAACCCGAAGTCCTTTCCAAGAGCAACCAGTGCTCTCAATCAGTTCCCAAATCATTATCGTTTTGAGGCTTAATTGTTTATTTATTTATTTATTTTTTGGTTTTTTGAGACAGGGTTTCTCTGTGGCTTTGGAGGCTGTCCTGGAACTAGCTCTTGTAGACCAGGCTGGCCTCGAACTCACAGAGAGACACCTGCCTCTGCCTCCCGCGTGCTGGGATTAAAGGCGTGCACCACCAACGCCCGGCGAGGCTTAATTGTTTAAACTGTAAGATGGAAATAAGCATTGTAGGAGAGAGCATCGTGTTGTGATAGTGTTTGGCAGTGATACCTAATACCTGTCTTTCCCCCACTGATCTTGTGAAGGAGCCCACCTAAACCCAGCCTTCTCTCTGGCCATGTGCTTGGTGGGACGCCTCTCCTGGGCCAAGTTCCCCATTTACTGCTTTGTGCAACTGTTGGCGGGTTTCTGTGCCTCAGGAGCTACTTACATTCTCTACTACGGTAACAGGGAACACAACTGGGGGCAACCGCTGGGGGCAGGGGTGCCTTGCGGTGGTTTGGGATAAACTATTGAGTGTCTCTCTTACCTGAAGATGCCCTCCAGCACTACACAGGCGGGAACCTGACAGTGACTGGTCCCAAAGAGACAGCCTCAATTTTTGCCACCTATCCTTCTGCCTATCTGTCCCTGAACAATGGCTTCTTGGATCAGGTAAGTGTAAAGGGATGAGAAAATGAGTCCCAACCTTTGAGCTGCTCACTGGGACCCCAGCCCATTGTTCAGAGTTCAGGTGGAATTCCTTGGCATCCCTAGTTCTGCTGGACAGATGGCACAGAGGTGGTGGCATGAGGCTTTGAGGGAGGGAGGGCAGACGAAACACCTGACTGGCAGTTAATGGGTTTACTTCCACCACCATCAACCCCAAGGTCCTGGGCACCTGGCTGCTGATTGTGGGGCTGTTAGCTATCCTGGACAGACGGAATAAAGGAGTGCCCGAAGGTCTGGAGCCTGTGGTGATAGGTCTGCTGGTCCTTGCCATCGGAGTATCCATAGGTGGCAACTGTGGCTTTCCTATTAACCCTGCCCGGGACGTGGGCCCACGGCTCTTCACCTACTTTGCTGGGTGGGGTCCTGAAGTCTTCAGGTAGGAGACAGCTTCCCTTGGTACAGTCCTCCATTCTCCTCTGTTAATAGCTTTGTGTGTGATTCTCTACATCCCCCCCCCTTTTTTTTCCGAGACAGGGTTTCTCTGTATTGTTTTGGAGGCTGTTCTGGAACTCACTCTGTAGACCAGGCTGGCCTCGAACTCACAGAGATCTGCCTGCCTTCGAGTGCTGGGATTAAAGGCGTGCACCACCAACGCCCAGCTCCCCTCCCCTTTTGAAACAGGGTCTCACTATGTACCAGGCTGGCCCCCTCAGACTTCCTCTTGCCTCCCAGGTGCTGGGTTTAAAGGCATATGCCACCCTGCCCAGTCCAAGTTCTCTCCATTCAAACAGTTCTCTGAGATTTGTGCTACTCCTTTAACTGGCAAACTCTCCCTTCCTTCACGGCTCTCCCGGTCCCCACCGCTTTTTACAGAAATAGTAGATTCGCAGGTGTCCTTGGGCATGCCATACTACTTCTTTGGATTTTAGTGACCCAAGTCTATTTAGCTAATTTCTCAAGACTAGAGTGCTTCCCATTAATTAAGGAGACCGCATGCTCAGTGTGGGTCCTGCCTCGCTATTCGCGGCTCACAGGGAGAGGTGTGTCTGAATCACTACTGACATCTCCCTTTGGCCCTTCCATTGCAGGGCCGGTGACGGCTGGTGGTGGGTGCCTGCCGTGGCTCCTATGGTGGGGGCCACCCTCGGCACAGTCACATACCAGCTCCTGGTGGCTCTGCACCACCCTGAGGATCTGGTAGCAGCTCCTCTGGAGGCTTCAGACTTGGGAACTCCACCTCAGCTGGAGTGTAAAATGTAATGCTACCAACCTTCTCTCACTCTGCAAGATCACCATGAGCGGGCCAGCTTGCAAGACTTTCTGTGTATTAATATGCCAGCCCCCGGAACGCTTCTGTTTACCCATCCACTCTTGCTTAGACTGGGGAGAACCAGTAGACAAGATCAGACGCTTCCACTGGTCTCCGGACGCTGAGGGCCTCTAGGCACGCAGTTCCCTAAAGAGGCCGCCAGGGGGTGTGCACACTGGCCGCTGGCTTTGGGAAGGTTTCTAGAAGCGTTTGGGTGGTGGGTGGGCTACTACCATCCTTTCAGGGGTAGTGCCCACGAGCGTCTGGAGAGAAGCTTGGTTTCCAGTGTCTGACTCCCAGCCCCTCTTTTTTCCTTAGTATATATTTCTCTATGTAACCCTGTAACTTTCTATGTAGAACACACTGGCCTTGACTTCAGTCTCCTCTGCTGGGATTACAGCGTGTGACCAACACACCCAACAAGAACGATTCTTTTATAAACCAAAAAACAAACTCAACAAAACCAATTTAAGCTCGAGTCCGGAGTGATGGAGGGTGTATTTCATCCTGGCGCTCGGATTTCTGAGACTTCCAGGCCTGTCAGATATATATAATGGGACTCTGTCTAAAAAGAACAAAACAACAACACCACAAAACACACCAAAACCACTTACATTTTGAGGCCTGAGCAAGTGCTCGCCTTGGAGGGGTTGGCTGCCGGCTCCGGCAATCTCAGCGCTTCCTACCTTTGGCCTGACAGGGGTGCCTCCTCTATACTCCAAAGACCCCCTCAGACGGTTCTTAGAGAGGCGGTGGTGTGTGTGTGTGTGTATGTGTGTGTTTGTGTGTGTGTGTGTGTATGTGTGTGCGCGCACCACCCAAGAGGCGTGGTAAGGGGAAAAAGCCATCAACGTCGAACAACCAGGCAGAGAAACTGAGGCAAAAACTAATACCCAGACAATGTGGGGCTGTACCACTTAAGGAGGGTGAAAGACCAAGAGATGAGCCAGGGGGAGGAGGGAGCAGAGCAGAGCCCCGGGCTGGAGAGAAGCACGCTCAGGGGCTTCTTCGCTGCCTCTCCTACATCAGCCTCCTGCGCTGAGCAAGCAGCATTCTCTCGGTCTCAAGCTTCCAACATAAAGACACAGCATCCCAGCGTTCTCCAGCCGATCGGAACGCCTGCGTGTCCGGGGCTGGAGCGTGGGACCCTCCCCTCCGCACCAAGATGGCGCACGCCGCGCCCCTCACCTCCCCAAAGCCCCTCCCGCCCCCCGCCCGCGGCCGCCGCCGTCACTTCCGCCCCGCGGCCGAAACTGACACAAAGTAGCGGGCCGGGGCCCGGGTGGGGAGAGCAGGGCTGCCGCTGGAGGGCGGGAGCCTGCGGGCAGCGGAGCCGAGCGCCCCCGCCCCAGCCCCCGGCATGGGCTGGACGGGGCCGCCGGGCGGAGCGCCGAGCGCTGCGCGCTGAGGTGAGGCGCCGCCGCGGCGGGCCGGGGGTGTGGACCGGGAGGGCCGGCTCTGGGAGGCTCGGGCTGCGGAGCCTCGGGGAGCGGCCGTGGAAGGCTGGAACCCAGGATGGAGAGTGCGAGTCTCTGTGCGCTGGCTGGGAAGATGGGGCGCGCGGAGAGTTGGGGTGCGAGGAGTTGACCCTGGCCCTAGGCTCTAGGTGCCCGGAGAGGGGGGAGTTCGGGGATGATCGCATTTGTCCCGCGAAGGTGGAGGTCTCTGTGCCCCAGGAAAACCAGGGGTGCTAGGGGTGTTAGCTTTGGGAGCTCAGCGCTGTGCAGTGGGTCCTGGATACTGTCCTTGGAGAGGGAAGGAAGGTGGCCCCTGGGGTTATTGTTTTCTCCTGCCTCGCCGACCTGCTAGCTTCCTCTGAAAAGACTTGCTGGGAAAAGAGCGGAGGCCAGACTCAGAGGAGGAGCCCTTTTCCTTCGTGGAGCGATGCCTCCTTCCCAGGGCTGGCTATTTTTATCCCAGATGTGGCTGCAGAGGGGGCTGGGGTAGGGTGACGGGGCAAGGCGACGTGGCTGATGGGCCTAACCGGTTTAGAAAACCCAGGATATCCTGAGAGGGGGACCCTGTTGCCAGTGATTTCTGTAACTGTGCCCCCTTTGAGAATTGGGGCCAAACTTGTTTTGAGTCTCCCTAGGGTCTTAGAGGTAAAAGAACTTTCCTGATCCGTGTCCAGACTTGACTCTTGATGGCCATCTAGTTCCACTGTTACCTCTGTCATAGGCGGCAGATTCAGATCTTAGGGCTAACGATGATGGATAGCTTCCCACTGGGGTGGGGCTAGGTAGGAGCCAGTAATGCCCACCCTGCATCCTCTCCTTTAACCTCCCTCTGGCTTTGCACCCCACCCTCCCATGACTCATGCTCTAGATTGGGTGGAGACCCTGACTGGGGCCCTGGAAGAGGGCTTGGCATCACCAAAATGTGCATGAGGTTTTCTTCCTGAGCCAAGGGGGGAAGCGCCGCTGCTTGCCACAGTTATGGAGAGTCAGGAGTGCAAAGGACTTCAGCCTGGCAGGACTGTCTGCTCTGAGGTCAAGGAGGGAGTGTGTGTTAGTGAAGGGAGAATTGGTGTGGGTGACTGGGCTGGGACCAGAGTCAGTAATTACAGAGATTGGGCAGACAGGCAATTAGTAGCTCTTGGGGCTGACGGGCTGGAAGCAGGGGAACCAAGGAGGGAGAAGACGGTCCATCTAAAGGGAGAGGAGGTCCCTCCGGCCAGGACCTGCACCTTTGTAGGGGAAAGTACATGGAAGGTTGGAAGGAAGCCGAGGCTCTCTGAGCCGGTGTCCAGTGCCTTGCTGCCTGGACTAGACTTGTGGTGGGAAAGAAAGGTGTCTTCAGCAGAGTTGGGTAGACCTCTCTGATGGCCCCAGAGGTGGCTGGCCCCCGATTGCCAGGAAGTGGTTTGGGGGGGACGATCTGCAGGAAGTGGTGGCCATGCCTCTGATGAGAACCCCTCTGGGGAGGAGGAGATAATGGAAGTCCCAGTAATGAAAGTGGGGGTGGGACAATAATGAGCTTTCTAGAAGGGCGGAATGTGCCCACCCTGTTTCCTGATGCTCTGCCAGGTGTTTCCTGGCTCATGGTATCTCCACCCAACCTACCAGGGGAAATTATGCTTTCTAGTAGAGGCGTCGACACCAGGGCACCTGGGACACCCATTGTTCCTGAGGGGCATACCTCGAGAGCTGTGTCTCACTTGTCAATATCTGGTCTCTTCTAGACCCTTCTCTATAGGTTTTGGCTTCTGTAAATTCTCAGTCCCCTCTTTCAGGACAGAGGAAGCCCCCCTCCCCTCGGGTATCCATATCAGAGCAGAAGATGAGTGTTGATGGAGTTGGAGGCTGTAGGGCTGGCAGGGGCGTAGCTAGGATAATCTTCAGAAGGGGTCTCAGGTGGGGAATGAAGAATTCTTGACCACGCGTGTGTTGCTTTCTTGCAGGGACTCCCATGGGATTGCTGGAACCTTGGTGGGTGAGATGGCACTGTGTGCAAAAAAACGCCCCCCAGGTAAGAGCGGCAAGGAGTGGCTCTCTGGGACCATAATGAATGAAAGTAGCTGGGGTAGCGGGACGACTAGAATGGTTCTGAGAAAAAAAGGGGGGAGGTAGGGCTGCTAGGCGTCCTCGGAGGGTAGCCTAAGAAACCGAATTCCTCGTTTCATCCTTGGGCTGATGTTCAGCCATGGCTGCTAATCACTAGTCCCTTACTCAGAAGCACCTGCAGCTCCTACTCTTTGGCCTGGGCTCCGGGGCTCTGGCCTCCTTTGCCTACCCACCGGAGCCCTCCTCGGTTTCCCGCGGAAGGAGGGGGGTGTGCGATGAAAGCTGTTGCCCTGGACAACGCGGACGGTCGGCTCCTCCGCATTGGCTGGGGGAGGGGGCGGGGCCGCGCGCTGGCTTTCGCCTACGCGGCACTGGCAGACTTCAGCTCTGCAGTGGGAGCCGGTGGGGGCGGAGCCTGGGGGCGTGGGCTCCGCGTTCCGGCCACTCAAAGCTCCACCTCCCGCCTCTGTCGTGGGATTCGGGAGTGGAGCTCCTGCAGAGCTGGTGGTCCCAGGCGCAGGTGGCCGCGAGGATGGTTTGGGCTGCGGGTGGCTTGCGCGCCCAGCGGCCGGGGCTCCCCTCTGCGTGGCCGCAGCTCTTGCGCCTCCCCGGGGGGCCGCCCCATAGGCGCCGCTGAGGCCAAGGACAGACAGTGCGCTTTCTTAAAACGGGATCATGACGGTCCCTAAGGAGATGCCCGAGAAGTGGGCCCGGGCCGGGGCGCCTCCGTCTTGGAGCCAGAAGAAGCCCTCTTGGGGGACAGGTAACAGGGAGGCAGTGTCTGGCAGCTCTCACATCCGTGATTGCCCTTTTCCGACCTCCGCATTCCCTCGTCCTCAACCTCCCCTTCTCCCCGTGTTCTTTGGGGGCCGTTTAGGATCCTCCTCCTTTCTTTGTGTGGTTCTTGGAGATTAGGGTCTCAGTGGGAAAGGGGACCCTCTGAATGAAGTTTCTGGTTGTCTGTCAAATGGCTCATTTGTCTGATGACTTTGTGGCCTGGGTTTGTTACTGCATTGTGCTTGTTGTGGGAAGAGATCTGGAATGTTACCTTGGATTCTCGGTCAGATATAAGGTGGCAGGCTTACTGCGTAACCAATTTTCAACTCCTTTTTAAGTCTGAGGAGGGAACCCTTCATAGGACATTGCTTATTCTTGGTCCTGAAATTGGCACCTGCAGCCTGGGGTCTTCTGGGTTTGGATTAGGTCCAGCTAAATAAGGGTCGTTAAACAGTGACGTGTGTGAATGGTAGGAGAAAGATTGCAGCTCATTGCTTCATCTGCTCAGTCTTCATGACCCACATCTCTGACATACACACCCCCACACTTGAAGATGAGCTTCGCAATAGGATGATGTCATTGTCCACCAGTCAGAAACTGCTTACGGTGACACGTGACAAGAGGCTCCTTCAGAGACGCTGCACGTGGGCCTGGGATGCTGCCGCAGAGCAGTTCCAGGGCACTGTGACCCTCTGTCCTGGCACCACCCACTGTGCTCCTCCCCAGGTGCTGTGAGTAGGTTTGCAGTGATCTCCAAAGGAAGGAAGCTTTGTACTTCCCGCTGCCGCCGCATGGCCGTGATGATGGATGCGTTACTAAGGGACCTGGGGGTCGGAGTGGTGGGGGCACTGAGTGCTCTGAGGGAAGGACCTTGTTGACAAGTTGGCAGGTAGGGACAGAAAGCTGTCCTGTGTTGTGAGTGTGGCCGGAGGCCAGCCTGCATTACGTAGTTTTGTAGTGAGACTGTGTCTCTAAGAGGGACATGGGGAATAGCATGCAGGGCCATTCGGACTGCGCCGTTGGCAACGTGGACCAGAACAAGAGTTTAATAACACCACAACTGTGTTCTGCGGGAAGAAGCAGGTTCTCAGAGGAACTCTCACAAAGGCTGAGTAGACCTGACTTAGTGAACTCCTTCTGACGACAGCCTTGTTCTTTTGCAGAAGAAGAGCGGAGGGCACGG